CTGTATTTGTGGCACTATAACTTTGCAAATCCAGGGAGATGCACATAAACACAAGAGCTTTTGATCATGGCTTCCATCTGGATATTTTTGGACTGCATAATGCAGGCACCACTACGTTTGTTGCAAATTATGGTTTGTTGCCATCAATTTTCTAAGCCCCCCCCCTTTTTTTATGAGGAGGTATGTCAAATCACTTTACTGAATTTTACCCAAATAAATGCGAGCATCATAAAACAGAAGTGACAAGCTTTTAAGATTGCTGCAACAATCGCACATCTTTTGATGGCAGAAGTTAAAAATAGGCTTTTTTGTCTCACATGATGTTTAAAAAGCAGTATAGGTTATTTTTATGCCTCTTTTCTTGGATGAATCTAATTGCAAAGTTGTCTCATGGGATGAGTGGGGGTTTATGCTTATTTCTGGCTCCTGAAATAAAACATTTTTAAAAATCCAGAAATAAGTTGCAAACTACTTTTTAATTGTTGCCCGGAAAATCATTTGGACTCATCCACAAAGGCAAGCAATCAAACTCAAGGAAAAAAATTATTAAGAATTATGATAAAAATCAATCAGTAAATTCAAGTGCTACTATGCAATCTCGGGGAAACTAGAGCACCATAACCCAAACCTACAGCTCTGATTTATTATGAAATATTAAAATGTATCCAGAACTATTGCTCTTAAAATATGTTGTTTCTTAATATTTAATTTAGATATATTGAAAAGCAGGCCACTGAACCAAATGATTTCCATCTTCCATTCAATGGATTGACTATGAAAGCAATTTGACATATTTTTTTTAAAAAAAATAAGCTTGTGAGGAGGACAGAATTAAAAATGCTTAGACTCGAAGAGAAAAAGAAGAGGAAGGTACAATAACGTTTTTCTGATACCTGCAAAGTAAACAACACAGAAGGAGCTCAAGATCTGTTGTTTCTTGCTCCACTGTGCAAGAGATAGAATAATGGACTTCTTGTAAATTCCAACATGGTAGATTCTAAATGAAAGAGTCAGCTTGGACATGGCAGTATCTGGAAACAGCAGAGTTTAAGAGAAAGAACTGGAGTAAAATCACAAAATCACCTGCAAATAGAAGTGGAACTGTGGCAAAAGAAAGCAAAGTTAATACCAATTGTAATAGGGTTATCCAACTTGGACGGCTGCATCCATCTCCAGGACTTCAAGATTTCTGTCCTGAGCTAATCCCCCCTCCCCCCTCAGAATTACAGATGGCATAGACTCTTAGATTGGGATTGGGCAAACGATCCCAATCCAATCAGATCATTCCACCAACACAGACTGATTATTTCTGAGGCAAGTTCTGCATTTAAGACTAGACCTATGCATCTAACTAATGAGTAGTTTTATTTGGGTCTTTTTTGAATCAATAGAAGAGAATATATGGAGCTCAGGATTGTTAATTGGATAATAAAACTTCTGCAAGCAAACAGACTCAAAAAGCACCAAAGACTTCACGGTTCTTTTCTGAATATGGAGCTTCTTAGAAAAGAAAGAGAAGAATCTCCAGCTTTCAGGAATGTTGAGTGGACTAAGATCAAAAGAAGGTGTTGAGTTATATCATTTGGGTGAAATCGCTGTACTTGCTCAGCCCTGATGATGTTACCAAGTTTGGGGTCTGCAGGAAGGAGTCTGCATCATGACATCATGACTCATACAACTTACATATCTGCCTCAAGTATGTATCTTTTTCATGCACAAAACATATTTATGGAATATTACTTCATGGTATATTTTGCACCACTTACATCTTTCTCTCTCTCTTTTTTTCTGGTCAAAAAGGGGAAATGACTTTAGAAGTTATCATGGAATGTTTCAATATTTTATCTGTTAAAAAACAAAATCACGTGTCTGGATTGAATAATTAGATAGAGTAATATTCATGATCCAAGAAAGAAAAGACTCCAAGGTTCCTTCCAGATAGAGCTTTTAATGTACATTGGCAGCAATTTGAGATGGTTATTTCACTGGGCATCGTGATGACATAGTTTTTCATTACACATATAATCCCATTATAGCCCTTTTGATTCCATTCCTTTCCCTTAGCTCATGAAGATTTCATTGACATATTAGGACCCAGAGCGAACACCATTGTCAAGGATATCAATATTCTGTAGCATTTCTGAACAATTCTGGATAAAGATCACCTGGAGCAATGGTAGAACTGATACAATGTGTTTGCAATGAACCATGTAATTTTCAGTTAGAGAGAGTGCTTTGCTGATTGTCACAGTACTCTCATTTGCTCCGTGCAGTTACTCTCCCTTCCACCTGGAGTTTTCCTGATTCTTACTTTGAAGAATTAAAAATTCAGGATAAATAAAATCTGTTCTTCTATACCAGTGATGGCGAACCTTTTCGGCACAGAGTTCCCAAACCAGGACACCTATGCATGTGTGTGCGCTGGAGCGCCAGAAACCTAAAGACCAGCTGGCTGGCACAGGTGTCCTGTTTTGGGGGGCATTTTCAGGCCATTTTCAGTTTAGTTTTCAGACTGGTTTTCGGGCCAAAAATACTCTGAAAATGGCCCTAAAAACAGCCTGCTTCTTTGGCTATTTTGGGGGCGTTTTCAGGCCATTTTCTGTGCTCCGGTGGCCATGAAGTCCACTTGGAAACTATGCATGCCAGAAACCAGAAGAGTAGCTGGTGACGGTGTGCGTGCCCACAGAGAGGGCTCTGTGTGCCAGGTTCGCTATCATGGTTCCATACTATACATGCAGAATCTGAATTGGTCAAATACAGTAGGTGTTTATAAGTGCAAGTGGTCCTTGATTTATGACCACAATTGAGCCCCAAATTTCTGTTCTTAAGATATTTGTTGTGAGTTTTGCCCCACTTTATGACCTTCCTTGTACCAGTTGTTAAGTGAATCATTGCAGTTGATAAGTTAATAACCTGATTGTTAAGTGAATCTGGTTTCCCCATTGACTTAGCTTGTCAGAAGGTCGCAGAAGGTGATTATGTGATCCTGAGACACAGCAACAGTCATAAATATGAACCAGTTGCCAAGTGTCTGAATTTTGACCACATGATCATGGGGATGCTGCAAAGGTTGTAACTCTGAAAAACAATCATAAGTCACATTTTCAGTGTTGTTGTAACTTTGAATGGTCACTTAATGAATTATTGTAAGTCAAGGACTAGCTGTATTATAGGACCTGCTTTTCGCAATAAGACACTTACCAAGAATGAAGGATATGGATGACACCATAGAATCCTTCCAACAGAAAATGTAGGAAAGCAATCTCATAATATGAAATATTCATGACAGTCAAGAAGAACAGGAATTTTAATTCCCCAAATAAATATTTACTTATTAAAGAACAAGATTTAACAATCACTTTAACCAGTGAATGAAATGCAAAAAGTGATTGTGGAGTGCTGTGTGGGTGTCACTATCACCAACATTAGCCTGGAAACATTTAGAGTCCATCTTTTCTGTTGGAAATCAAAAACCAAATATTGCCTTTTTAAATAGAAGTTAGGATTAATTACTTTACAACAAGGGTCCTCAAACTACGGCCCGGGGGCCATATACAGCTCGCCGAAGCCATTAATCTGGCCCGTGCAGGACCACGAGGCTTCCACGTCCACATCTCCCTGCCCACCCTTCTATTTCTATTCCTCCTGTCCTTCAAATAACAGTAGAATTTATTTATTTATTCTCATAAACTAAAGCATGCTGGAATGACATGATTTCTGCTTCTTTTGCAACACAAAACACAAACTGGAGGCAAGAACTGTTTAACTTGGGAGAGCAGAATGGATGGTACACAGATAAAGTGCTTTCATCTAACTATGACAATGACCGCATTTTGGCAATTCAACACATTTTTATTTTGGGGGGGGCAACAGTTTAGGTGGGCAACATTGCGGTTCAGGCCTTTTGTGGAGATGAAGCTGTTATGTACTAAACCGGTGTTGGTAGCTGTCCGTCACCTGTGGAGTGCTTGATGCTCCCATTCAAGGTAGTAGCCTTGAAAGTGAAGGACCTCCCCCGAACTGATCCCTCTGCATAGAACCTCTCCGGCTTTTTCTGACAACGGAAGAACATAAGGAATCCATTGCGGTAGTTCTTATTCATCCAGCCATAGAGCAAAGGGTTTGCAAAAGTGGAACACATAGCTATGACATGAAATACCGTATAAAGGAGTTTATAATCACGGAGGGCAAGTGCCATATCTAAGTCTGCGGCAAGCTGGAAAGCATGGAAGGGTAGCCAAGAGACGGCAAACACCACGACGACCATGAAAAGCATCTTTGTGGTCTTTTTCCTGCGGCAGTGAGTCTCATTTGTAGCAGAAGGACTAATGTGGCTTTTCAGTTTGAACCATATCCTGATGTAGGCATAACAGATGATAGAAAGAGGGAAGACATATTGCAGGATGAGCATGGATAAGCTGTATATAGTGGCATCTCTGCTGCCAGAAGGCCATTTCTCTGAGCAGACAGCTATTCTGAGGTTGATGGATGGAATTTCTTCGTATCTGTATTCTCGAAAGATAGCTAGGGGACTAGCCAGGAGCGCAGCAACCAGCCATGTAATCGCTATGATGGTGAAGCTGATTTTCTTGGATATTCTACTGTCTAAATGAAAAACAATACATCTGTACCTATCAAGGGCAATCACAGTTAATGTGAGAATAGATACATGAACACTTAAAGCTTGAGCACAGGACACCAAGTGACAAAGTACAGCCCCAAACTTCCACTCATCCAGCAGAGTGTAAGCCAGAGTAAAGGGCAAGCAAGTATCCACCATTAAGTCGGCCAGAGCTAAGTTAGCTATGAAAAAGTTGGTTACAGTCCTCATGGTTTTGTATCTCACTATCATATAGATGACCAAGGAGTTGCCAATGAATCCCAGCAGAATGATGAGAGAATAAGCCATTATCAGTATGATTTGGACCCCCAGGATCTTGGTGCTGTCCATCATAATTTCACTGGATCCGCCTTGAAATCCTTGACTGGGGGTGACAAGACTGTCTGCATGCCAGCGAGACTGTGATTTCTTCTCTGAGATACGCTCTTCCAAGATGATGGTGCTATTGACTTGATCAAGCAACCCCATGCCTATTTTTTTGTATTTATGTGTTGACAGTATTACGCTTGTATGTTTGTCTGCAGAAAAAGAAACAAATGCAAGATTGAAAAAGACTATATTTAAAGACATTCGTTTATCATCAAGTACAGCATTTCAAATTAAGCTCCAAACTTCTGCAATCCTCGTGCACATTAAAATGATTAATATTTGGTTTTCATGCACAGTTGAATGGAATACCTGAAAGAAAAAAATTAGCCTGTGTAGATCCCATTATATCTGCATGATAAAATTAAAGCCAAGCAAAGCGCAAAAAAAAAAAAAAATTGACCTTAACTAAATTCTCATTATTTTTCACAAACGATGTTTTTTTCTCTTTGCAATTCTATTTATCTAAAATTGAATGGGTTAAAGAATAATCCTTCCAAATGTCATGCTCATATCATCATATAAACCAGATCACCAGTTTGGCTATTAACAATTGCTTGCGATTGGTCTCCAATCTGCCTTTGTGCTCTCTCATGACCTTGCCTCTGCTTGTCAGAGTAATTCTATTTGCATGAAGAATGGCAAGGAAAGTCAAAATATAAATTAGCAATGAACTAGAAATACAATAAACTCTGCAACTGTTTTGTTCATCAGTATGCTTAAGACATACGTAAGTTCCTTGTCCATAGAATTGGATATAAGTATATGTGAGCCAGGGGTGGGTTCCGGGTGCTGCTACTGCCAGTTCGGGTGCTGCTACTGCCAGGGATGCGCTGCATGCTTGTGCGTGCTTAATGCATGCTACGTGCACATGCGCAATACTAAAAAAATGCTTCTGCTCAGTGGTGGATTCCGGATCCCGTTGCAACTGGTACAGTGCAACAGGGTCGGGCATCCACTACATGAACATGTGCAGCATACGCACGCACACATGCAGCATGTGCATGCGTACTTACTACCTACAATGTTCTGCGGCACCTCCGCGATGCTTGGCAGAGCGTTGCACAGGTGCCATACCCTCTGTGCGCAGACGCCCCGAACAGCTCAACTACTGGTAAGGAGCGCGGGCGGGCTATTGGGCCCTCCGGAGCACTGTACCAGAACAGTACCCAGTGCTTCCAGCAGGCACCCGTATGCCCGTACCAGGACGTACCAGTCGTAACCCACCACTGCTTCTGCTCATGCACAGAAGAAAAAAACAAGATGGCGGTGCTGTTAGCTCTGCCGAGAGAACCAGTTTGGGAGCAGAGAGAGTTACTATCTACTCGGCCAAACCAGTCTGAACCAGTAGGAACCCACCTATGATATGAGCATGATCCTCCACTAAAGACTAACCTGGACAACATTTTAGCAGTTTTTGATCCTATTAAGCACCAATAGGAACCTTGATTTGCTATGTAAATAAAAGATGATAAGTATAAGAGCCCTTATATCTCCTTGTTGTGACTTTTAGAATCCTTATTACACACTACTGTATGACTTACTCAATTCTTTTCAAGGTTCTTAAGGCAAAATAACAAAATTGACTCATCCATGCTTGTCAGTAATTTCACAGCTGGGCTTCATATATGTATGTAGCAGAAGAAATACAGATTATAAATGTATGCCCTAAACTTTTAAGAATATTTTGCCAAAACTATAGGGGAAAAAATCAGAATCACAGCCTTTTAGTCAGTTTGATCATTATGCCCCCTTCACTGATTTCATTTTTCATTTCCAGCTCTGTATCTCTAATGGCTTAGATACATGTAATTAATCTCTTGGATTTATGGAGGATTTCTTCTTGGTTTAAAAGCAAGTGTGTCCAATTATTTTGCAGAACAAAGTTCGCAACTCCTCTTGGGAGCTCCAACAGGAATTTAGGCAGCTTGGCTGGAAACCTCTGTTGCTTGAGATGTTTGACTATGAGTGGGAAGAAGGGGCTGGTTAGATTGGTCTCAGCTACTTCTTCTCCTTCTCAGCTCTGTGTGTGTGTGTGTGTGTGTGTGTGTGTGTGTGTGTGTGTGTGTGTGTGTGTGTGTGTG